ACGTTGAGTATATTGAAGAGCACGGAATCGATGTTGTACGAGACTGCGCAATACTGGCTCCAACTGTGTTCCTTTGCGCGATTAATTACAACAAAACTGTCCTAAGAGAACTTTGTGTTTGACGAGGAGCAGGGTAAGTGGCTAGGGATCCTCTCTCGCGGCCAACATTTTCCGCAGGCTTGAAGACATGCGCGCCTGTTACTTACCCACATAATTCGTAAATTAGGGCAAACAGATTTGAATTCCCTATCCCACAATAACCCCATATTTAGTAAATTTGTGCACTTTATGTCTGCGTGCTTCTTAGTTTTGCGTCGACGTCATTATGTCACGTTTGTATGCAGCTAAAATATTCACTAAATTGGTACGCCTTTGGAAACAATGGAAGCAATTTCCATACCACGTATGCGTTAATGCCGAGTAAATGAAAAATACCGAACATGATTTGAATATTCAAACGTGTGATAACCACCCAAGCACCACGGGGTAGACCCAGCTCACAGCGGTACCCGACAGGCAGAATGAAACACCGGCGTTGTCAGAACCCTAAACTATCAACAACTGCTTTTAACATCAGCCATGGCTGTTACTTTTGACGAATCTGGCGACAAACAAATTATAATGAGTATGTCAGTCAATGAACCAATCCATACACATTCAGACATCCATACCAGTGCAGTACACACAAACCGCCGATGCTCCTGCCACCAGCGACGGAAGGCGCAACTCATTGATATAGGTGGCGCTTGCTGCCACCAAGCGAATGGAGTTTGAATTGAACGCTTGAGTTGCTGTACGTTGCATGACATCAGTAGCCCAGGCAAGGGGGGGGGGCATAATGGACACGTGCCTTCCCCTGTCCTTAAGTGGATGATCAAGTCTTATAGATGGTCAGAATCGTAGGTCCCGAGGGGCCGAATGGGCCCCTCGGGACCTATGATTAAGGGTACAATTTCAAGGCCCAAAGGGCCCAAAATGCTGACCGGAGGTGGCATTCAGGGGTCCGATCCGCAGGGCCTGGCACTTCAATGCCATCCCGAGGGCTCTGCGCGCTCATCAGGGGCCCCCTGGGTCGATATGGGCCGATATGTCGGTCAAGCATCATCAGTACCGCACACTCGGCTCTGTGTCGGCTTGGCCTAAGGGCCTGCTTCATAATCAGCTACAAAGCCGGAGACAGCGATTTATAATAGTCGGGACCCCTGCAGCTGTCAGAGTCCCGCGGTAACTACCATAGGTTCCTGTATTCCATGGGGCTCCGAGCCAACCAGGGGCAGTGCTCGATGAGGCCCGAAGAGGGGCCCGGACGGCCCAGTGGAGCCAACGATCAACGGTTGGAGGGTATAAGGACCTGAAGGACTGGCTGTAGATGGCATAAAGAATCGCGGCCCGCAGAGTCGTGACCTAAAATATCAGTGAGAGGTCCTCTTGCACCGTTTGGGGATCCCTGAAACAATGCGGATGTCTCGATCGGCGAGAGATTACGAGCACCGAACAGTTGGATCCCTGTCACTCTGAACCCTGGGGGCCATTTGCCAAATTGGGGCAAGGCAGGGGGCCACAACTCACGATTGTCTGGGCCCTGAAACAATGAATGGGGCCCCTTCGTCGGCCAGGGGTCCACAGTGCCTAAAAGGGTGTCATGTGTCATCTGGTGGCCCCAAGTCGGTCACAGGCTTTGCTTGAGTAGGTCCGAGGGGGCACGAAGGGATCCTCGGGACCAAAGATCAATGGTCCGATAGGAAGGCTGAGGGGCCCGAAGAGCTGGCTGTAGGTCACATTTCGTACCCCGCCCGTAGGACCGTGATCTGAAATGCCAGTTAGAGAGTCCCTTGTACTGATTTGGGACCCGCGAGTCAGAGCGTTTTATTTCGGCCAGAGATCACCAACACCAGACAGTCGGCTCTGTGTCGGTCTGATCTCCTGGGGCCCATTTCCCAAGCCGGGTCAAGGCCGGGTCGGCGATTTGCGCTGGTCACAGCCCCTGCAACAATACGGGACTCCTGTACCTATCAGAGGCCCAGTGCCTGACACGGTGTTCTGCGTTAACAAGCGGATTCGAGTCAGTCAGCGGAACATCTGCTCAACAGGAACGGAGACGGAACCCCGAATGACAGAGGACCTCTTGCGCTGGCCGGGGCCCTCTAACAATGAAAAGAAACATTGTAACGTATGATTGTTGATTAACGTATGATTGATAACGTTTGTAACGCGTGTTCACATTGAGACCATGCAAGGGTCCGGTGCCAGTCCGGTGCCAGCCAGTACCGAGCGGCTGTCCCTGCAGTCCAACTCCAGCATGGGTCCATTAAGCCAAGCTGGAGTCTATGCGCCAACTTTTGGACCACCTCAGCGTCAGGAAGGGACAAATGTGATATGATATCCCTCTAAGGGCATCCGGATCGACAAGGAAATCCCACCCCGTGGTGCCCGAATGGCAGCACGGGCAGAATGATAGAAGCAGAACGGCGGAAGACACCCCGCGGTGGAACGGAACGGCCCTTCAGCTCCTGACCGGGAGCTATAATGTGGGTCCTAGTGTTCTACTCGGCAGACCTTCTTGCCCGGAAAGACACAAGGAATTTCATTTGTGTTGAAAACAGTGGGTCGAAACGCGTTTAAAAACGAGCCAGGCCATGCTACGTTTGCCTGAGAAACTTTTTTTTTGCAGAATTGGTTAGTGAAACAAATAACATCAAAAGGTTTGAGCCTGCGCGCCCGAAATCTCGGGAGCGAGGACAGCGATGGTCTGGGTTGCAGTTTCCGGGAAATGGAATGGCGTTGGCCACTGGAAGTAACACCACGCACCCCGCGCGAGAACGACCGTCGTAAAATAATGGTTCCGAATGTCCTTCAACATAAATTCACAGCGTGCAAAGAAAACACTGGGCCTACCCTTCATTACCTTTGAGGCTGTATTCCTGATAGATGAACAGTTACAGCAACATGAAAAGTAGATGTTCTATATTTACCGCCCCAGTTCCACCGCCAGCGCCATCTTGCGGTGCTGCACAGGCCAGGCTGTTCTTAACATCGATCCAAAAATCGCACCTATGAAATATATGCCCGGACTGCCCTCCAAATGTACGCAGTGATGTCCCAAAGCGTTCAAAGGTACTTCTTTCAGATGCGCCATCATTTTCGTCCACTCGTTGGCCACGGCTTAGTATTAGCCACAGGTCCGACGCTGCGCGGCTTACGGAGACTGCAACGCCTCGCGGGGAGGTTTTGTTACTAAGGTTTGCGAGCGTGCATGCTCAAAACTGCGTACATAATTCGTGTAACTAAACGATTTTGACTAAATCTTGAACACTTCCTGATAAACATGGCTTGGCCAAGTTAACACAAAATGTTAACCCATTTTGATATACACTCTACATTCGCGGGCCTCTGCAGAACCCGGATGAGAATTATGACGAAGGTTCTTAGTTCTATCAGTTTAGAAAGAGTCCAATGGACCGTTGTAAAATAGGGTAGTACCGACGCGTTATGTGATGAACTCGTTTTACGCATGATTTCTTTAGTTAATACATTAGAAAATGCAGTCCAAATTTATCTCGCGGTCACTTCTGGCTTCTTTGTCAAGAACAGAGAGAGAATGAAAAATATCGAAGAGCAGCTCTCATTGACAAACGGGACATATCTAGGCGATTTGGGGGGGGAGAAATTTCCACTATTAGGGCCCCTTCGTCAACCCTGCGCCCCCCCCCCCCCTTGCCAAGGCTCTGGATTCACGACTGCGTGACGTCTTTGCTAGCCGAGCGTGCTGTACACTGCTTGTGGGTGGACCCGTGACGATAGGCTCCGCTTTGCTCCGGTCTGGTCTCTCGATTTGTGCGGTCATTAGTTGGTTCTGCTTGAGTGCGGCAACTCTGGTGGTGTTGGTCATTGACAAAACCTTCCTAAAAAGAATTATTTGCGCTTTCCTGTGCATGCGGCGAACGGTTTGTGTGCCTTCTGTCGGCCCTGCACCGGGCCTTCCCCCACTTTTTTGGGGGCTTTACTCCGCTCTTGTTCTAGGTGGACTTCATGAACAACGAACGAGTGTTGGCGGGCGGCGGCGGCGACTGCAGTGGTGCCTGCTGAAGTATCGCATGCATGGGCCGCTGCAGTGGGCAGCAAGCGGCATCGAGTGCGGCCGAGCAGCCGACCAAGCCGTGACGGTGGCCCGACTGAGCCCGCCGCTGTCGCCTGCCGGCCGCCGGCCTGATCCGGCTGACAGCAGTGAAGCAGTCGGGTCTGACGAGAACCCGTGCCATTGGTGCCGGTCGGTCCAGGACGGCTGATTCGGAACGCAGGTGTGGGCTGGTGGAGGCGGCCTCGCTCTCGGCCAAGCCGTGCACCTCGTGCCGTATGCTGGCCGACCTTGTGCAGGCTGAAGGACGGCGGACGTCGCGACACGGCACGGCGCCAACAGTGAGGTGGACCAGGCTACAGCCGTGTCGGGCGTGTAGAGCCGGTCGGTAGACGTGGTGCGGGCGCGGGATGACCTGGACGAGCTGCGCCAGTACCTGACGGGCCCGGGCGCCACCGGTTGGGGTCGGCATCGGCGGCCGGTGCCGGACCGGACAGTCAGCCGCAGCAGACCCGGCGGCGGTCGCGTGGGCGCCGGGCGGACCCTCAGCTTCGACGGCCGGCTGGTGGCACAGTCGACGGCTCCACGCCGAGACGGTCGACAGTGCAGACGAGAGCCGGTACAGGCCGCGGGTGCCGCCGTCAGTCGCAGGACACAGCTCGTCCGTTGGACGGCGGCCACAGCGCAGAGGCGAGCGCTGCTCGATGTGATGGACCACGATCAGGAATAGCAGGACGCGCCCCAGGACCAGACGCGCTCCTCCGGAGAGGGGAAGGGGAGGGGCTCCCCCTCAATAATGAACAGCCTGCGAATCTCCTGTCGTTGGCATTGGCTGGTGTTCGCTGCCGGTAGTCAGGCCCCTGCGGCATCTCGGTCAGGCCCCAGCTGCTGCAGTTGGGACGTGGGCCCGGCCGGCACCGGGACCGGCATGAGCGCGTCCAGAGTGACAGGGGTGGATCGGGCGAGGGCGGCGCCTGGTGCGCAGCCGGCGCCCGCGCAGCCGACACCGGAGGCGCAGCAGCAGCCGCCGGCAACGGAGCCGCGCCACCACAGGCACCACAGTCAGGCCTCCGAACTGGTGTGTGTCCTTGTCCCACGGCGGAAGCACGGCACTCCACGGAACCTAGCGGACATGAGGAGCGCCTCGGACAAGGGGACAATGGATCGCACTTAAATAAATAGGCATTGTTTTGTGCCCCCACTATATGTTTGGCTGAGCGTGAAATCACCTACCTAAATTCATCCAGTTAACCGGAAGACGAGACACGTGAGCCACTTCTCCAGAGTGATCTTTGAAATGTCATCACGTGGAGTTGTGTGTCGCACCGGTTCAGAAACGTTAAGTCAAAGTTGTAATGCCGTTGCAATACGTAATCCCCCGGGCCGGATCGGAACCTGCCGATCACTGCTTCGGACCTGCACCCTCTGCCACTTACCACTGCGTCGGGCGCCCCGCGGGAGCTGGAGTCGCTGAGAGATGGCTCCCTTCTGCCAGTGGGTTCGCCGCTAATGAAGGTGAGACCCCGTGTGGATGGGGACGGAGCGCTTTAGGCCACAACGAGGACCGACGAGCCGCCTGTAGTGGTTGTGCCCGAGTGGAGTCACATCACAGCGCTGATGGTGGACGAGGGACATCGTCGATGTTTGCACCAGGCGTCCGCGTCACCCTTGCTCTGTTCTCTGCAGAGTATTTCATTCACAGGAGAACCATACACAGGGTCGTCGGCACACGCAGTAGGTGTCGGTGCCACAACGGACTCCTCCATAGGTATGTGGAGAGCCTTCTGCCACCATTCCAGGTCAGAGCCATGTCAGAGCCATTCTGGATGTTGGTGACCGACTATTCCGTTCCCTTGTACGCTGACGAAGACACAAGATCTAGGCACTAATGCTCACGTGTGTGTTACGTTTCGTGTCATTCACCTCGAGCGGGTGCGAAGCCAGAGTACTGAAATGATTCCGCTACGTTTGACAGGGCCTGCAGAAGCCGTGGACCTGTGTCGGGGTTGCCTGATCCGACACTGGCTGACTGAATGTCTGCAGGTGCTGCGGTGCTGGAGCAGCCCCGAGGCCGACCCACCCGTCTGCCGGCGGTTGGCGAGGTCATGCTGGTCCACGGCGGAGGCCCTCGCGGCTCGTGACTTTCGGCCAGGGTGGCTTCGCTCATCAAAAGACCGGATGGCCGCTGTCGTGCCGCGGCAATTCTGCTCCGCGGAAATCTCACTCGCCGACCCACCGCCAAGCTGTACCGGCTGGAGGCATCGCCAGACACCACCTGTGACCGCGATGCGGACCTGAGCCGGTCGTCGTGTGGCACGCCTCCGGCGGTGTTTAGCGCGGCTCGGCACCGAAAGAGCGCGGTGATGCGCGAGCAACGGTGCCGCCCAGGTGCGGGCGTACGCGTACCGTGACGCCGGTGGACGGTCGACGTGACGTGGCGTCGACCCAGCTGCTGAATCCTGGTGTCGTGACTGTGTCGTGAGCGCAAAATAAAAGTAGCTTTTGTGCTCCACTCAGACAAAATTAGGTTTCTTGGTCCACGAAACCTCTCATGTGCCAAATAATCCGACGATGAGACATGTGAACCAATTTTCGAGAGCGCTCCTTAACTACCGCCACGTGGCGTTGTGCCGGTCCAAAAACGTTTGAGTAAAAGCTGCATTAGATACCTTTTCAATGCATAGTCCTCCGGGTAGGATCCAAAACTGTCTACCATTGCTTGCTTTCTGTGGTTAGCGCTTGAGCCTTCCAATTGCCTTCTGCTATTTGTACAGGTGATGTTGCATCACCGCAAACACGAAGGCTTAAGAGGACTGTTTCCTACTGGAAGATATTGAGACAAGTCTGATACACGATGAAAATACTCACTTAGAGCTATTGGCATGCTTTTAAATGCGGAAGACTGTTCTCAACAACAGGATGTCATGTTTTGATAACTAGCGCTCCTCAATACGTCATCATTTGATTTTATCATGGAACGTTTTGTTGACGTCAGAATCACTGACATTGTAGTTGTAAGAGGTATTCCATTGCCACGTTCACATCCAAATTCCTGGAGACTTTCCATGGTTAAGCCATCACCCATCCTTCATGCATATATGCCCTTTCATACAATTCTGCTGCTTAGGGGAAAATAGAACGAAAAACGAGACAAGTGACATTTGTCGCCCAATGGTGACATTTTGAACCGGGAGCCAATGAAAACGGCGCGTTGCGGACATGCTCTCGACGTTAACTGAATCGGCGTAGGGAAAGAACTTCTGCTGTTTCGTTGTTTATCGCGGAAGTTACCTTCTTTCGTCGTTGCCTCTTGGATTTATTCCGCACGCGCCTATTTTTGAGAAGAAAAAAAAACATCTTAGATTATGAGCGACTTGGACCGACCGCAAACATACAATCTGGACGTATGACGGGATCAGTATTGCGAATTTGAAAGTGAAAAACCGTAAACTGACAAACAATGCACTTGGGTGTACATTCTTTGCATGCCATAATGGTACGTCGGCGGGGACGTGGAGCATCGCTCACGCCTGTGCAGGCGTTTACATGGCTAGACGCTGACACGGAGCACAGCTGAAGCCAGGTGCAGCGGCAGCGGCGCAAAGCATGGCCCGCACCAGCGCAAAACACATCCAAACATGGCTCACGTCCGTAGCGACACCGACATGCAGCCAGAATTCGACTGTGCAGAGGCGGTAAAGGTTGCGTGCCGATCGGTCTCATAGGCTCGGAACATGGGGGTGTCTGCAGCCAATATTGGAGGTGTCGGACGTTTTTGGTGACGTTTGACCAAACCAACCATCACCATGTTTTGAAAAGAGAGGATTCCAACAATGGCGCATCACTAAGTGAAAGTTTTGTAGTAGTATCTGCTCCATCCGCTTGTAGAGGGATGTTTCCGGGCCGATTTTTCCACGTTTTGGAATTTTGGTGACCTTTGACCTATCCGAAGGTCACCATGTCCTAAGGAAAAACAAGCTGTCGACCAAGCGGCATGAAATGGTGATCGTTGCATATTGATTAATGCCATAGGCTCGGAGCATAGGATTGTCAACAGGTTTTGGCGGCTGTTTAATCTCTCCCGTTCTTGGAGGCCAACGGACACAAATTGATGCACTGGCCGCAAACAAGAATGAACATTAAAGATACCGAAAGAGAGAGAGAGAGAGAGAGAGAGAGAGAGAGAGAGAGAGAGAGAGAGAGGAGAGAGAGAGAGAGAGAGAGAGAGAGGAGAGAGAGAGAGAGAGAGAGGGAGAGAGAGAGAGAGAGAGAGAGAGAGGAAGAGGAGAGAGAGAGAGAGGAGAGAGAGAGAGAGCGAGAGAGAGAGAGAGAGAGAGAGAGATGAGAGAGAGAAGAGAGAGAGAGAGAGAGAGAGAGAGAGAGAGAGAAGAGAGAAGAGACGATCATACATATATATAATATATATATATATATATATATATATATATATTCATATCGCTAGCATACGTATTCCAAAGAAGTTGAGTTCTCATCCATGATGTCAACTTACGACTCAACCCAAATCTAGTTGTAATGTCAGACATGGGATACCAAATCTTTGTCAAGAACACAATTAACATGCCAAAATGTTGCCACTTTGTCTGATGTGATCAACATAACTAGTTGACCATGTGCTAAAGTGCAGGATTTCAGACACATATATAGACATGCTAGCCAGAACTGCGCTCAACACAAGCTGAATTGTGAATTAGCTCATGAGTTAATCACTTCGGGGTGAGTTATAGGCTGCATCTGCTCAGTAGGAAAAATGCTGGTTTGGGTCACAGGGGCGGATCCAGAGGGGGGGACACGGGGCCATGCCCCCCCCCCCTTGGGCCCCGAAGGGGTACATTGGCTCCGAAGGGGCCCATAGCCGGGCGCAAGGCCGTGTAATGAGGTATGATCATCCGGGGATTTTTCCCGCACTTTTTCCTGGCCATTACAGTGACGTCACAGTCGCAGCCTCCGCCCCACCTGCGTTACCTTCGCGTCTGCCACACCGGTATGCCTGCAACCAAATGCATCTGGTGGTCGCCGCAGGGCACTTCAAGAAGTGCGATGAGGAAATATGGAAGAGGGATTTGTTACCACGCTGGGTTAATAACAGCGAACATAGGCCTAGGAACCGGGAGCCCATGTGCCATGTCACTCCCACTCGCTGAGGATACCTAACATTGAGTCTATGGCAATGCATTGAAATTGGCCAGCCCACAGCTGTTCAAATCCGGGCTGACGAACCTGCACAAGCTCCAGCGACTGCCAAAGGAGGAACTACGCGGCACCAGGATCATCATCCGACCTGTCGCGTTGAACCTCAGCACTATACATAATGACGCGCCGGGTTGCACTGGTGTGCGATGTTGGCAGATTGAAACAACGGAAGTGGTGTGCTGCCTGGTGGAACATAGGGCATTGTGGACATTGCATATTGCGTCAACTGTACTACGAAGCCTCCGAAGGTCGAGGTGCGTGGTATTTATCAATGTCAGATCAGTCACGCTACCCTGCCAATGCGTTGTACACCCGTATGACTCCTAATTAAACGTCCCTTATTTAAAGCGATTCTTGCGCACAACATGCACTCCATTGTGCACACTTGGCGAATACATAAAGCAAACAGGGGGGTGGAGTGCGGAGAACACAACTATAGACTTGTTCAGCTTAACTCTAGAAATACGCGACATGATAACCTGTCTAAAACAACCCAAATCGTCCTCTGCGAAAGAGCCGTCTATGTCTCGGACACACAAGCATACAAACAAACAAAAAAAGAAGGCACAACGACGCTCATTCAAGCTCACCAACGTATGTTCACATAAGCACAACGATGCTCGCATCGTGCTGTCCACATGCTGTCGCACCTGTTCGGCTGCGCGCCTGGCAGCAGCCCGCTCAGCCCCAGCTTAATTGAGCCATCTGAGGCGGAGATGGATGCGAGTCGTCACCGGCTTCCGTACGATCCGCTTGTCCAACGCAGAAAACTTTTTCAGCAGAAGCTTAGTGAGGCGGTCGACAATACCAATGTCTCGGTCCATGCCTCGGCCCATCACGAGCTGGAAAACGACCTCGAAAGCCTCGACAACGCTCATCCAGGCCGGTGACGGTAACACCAGGCCGCCCCGACTAATGGTGCGTATCCGGGTGTCTGACACACAGCTGGGTGGTGCTTCTCGGGTCGACAATCCCATGCTTGGATCGTGGTGCTTGCACTTGGCTGCCACGAAGCCGGCAACGAAGGCCAGCGCCTCGTGCTCGATGTTGACCTCGTCCGTGGCGGCGCCTCAGCGGGGGCCATTTTCGGTTCTTTCCCCGTCACCGCCATTGAGCTTGCCTTCGCCCGACTCGTTGACCCCGTCGTCCTCTTCGAATTCTTCCAGGACGGGCACTGGAGGGATCGCAGCTGCGTGTTGGTAGGCGGCCTCCACGTCGTCCGCATGCGCTGCCGCTTCCGCCACAGCTGGATCCCGGATCTGCGACACAACGAAACGCAGTCATTTCGACGCACCTGACAGGTGCATTAGTCAGACCCTATTGCAAGTCAGTAGTTTTGTTTGCCATTGCGACAGCAAAGCGCTTTGGACCCAGACATCTCCATTCTTTTGTTATCGCATCCTTGTTTTTATACACCTCAACATTTTTCGTGGTCCAGCGTGACGTAATCCGAGCGCGTAAGAGGGACGGTCAACGGCCGACGAGCGCTGCGCTGCGTGCACCTTGTCGATATCTACGGCTTATGTTTTGTACGTGACATTTAAACATGTGATCGAACCGGGCCAATTGAGGGATGAGGCACAAATAATCATTCCGAAATATTCCATGCGGATCCACCCAGCGTTCCGTCAGACTCTCCGTGTTCTATGTAGTGAGCTCCGTTTCTTTGCAATAGCACTACTGGAATTCGGTGATATTTTTACCATTATCGGAAAACAACGGTAATGCATTCAAACAATGGTGAGCAATACTACCTGGATCTGGAGACCCTGCAGAGTTTCGTTTGTCAGGTTGTCTGGCTGGTCTAGACGCTGGCCTGTGCGAAGGAAAGCTGTGTCTGGCTCCAGTCGAACGGCGTGGCCTTGCTTGTTGGCAACTACCATTGGAGATGACGCCATCAGCAGCACTCGTACCCTCCACCGCGCCTCCACCGCGTCAGGTGCCGTGTTGGTGCCGCCAAGAGCACGGATCTGTGAAAAGTAATTCTCCAAGCAATCCTGATTAAGATGTGATGTCAGAATGTGTACCAAGGCGGGAGTAATTCGCTGGAGCTCTTCGTACAGGCCGCGGAGCGACGTTATACTCCGCAGCATGCCTTTTTGAAAGGGGAGTAGCGCCACGCGGCCGTCAGGATGACTTCGTGTAAACATCCCATGCACCAGCTTCTCCATCTCCGCCAGGGCCCCGTTCTGTGCCACCTTTGCTGCCAGCGTGATGCCGTAGCCGCAGCGCTCCGGCTTCGCGTCGTAAGGCGTGCGGCTGTTGGTGTCGAACTACCGGGCTGTGGTGAGTACTGCCTCGGCCTGCGCCCCACGACGAGGAAGATAGGTGGCGATGCCGGTCCCCACGGACTGGGAGAACAGCTGCGTTGCCAGTCGCACTCTCTAGGCGCTTTGTCCGGAAGCCTGGGAAGGACAGTAACTCACTGTCACCGTGCAGCACTGCGAGACCTACAACGAGCTTCTCGCCCATGGCTGCGATCTCTGTTGCCTCGATATGAAAGAACCAGATACTGGAGGCCATTTTGTTTATGCAAAGTTCGTACACTCCCTGGCTCAAAGAATGTGACCGGTAACATCAGGAGTAAGGCTCTCTCGGGTCACGGCTCGCTGCACCGTGACCCAAATGCCGTCGCATGAAGGCATGGCATGTTTCGACAAAGGCATG